GAAAAAAAATGTCATGGATACAAATCATCTGACTGTTAATCAACCAATATGTAAACCTTAAAATAACTGATAAAAAGTAATAAAAATTGAATGTTCACATTTGATTCTTGTTAACATAAGACATTTGGTTCATCTGGTTGATTTCATATGATTTTAATTTTCAATTCATAAAGTGGTTAAAATTTTCGTTCTTTTTTGTTTGTTTTAACAGCTGCTATGTTTGGATGGATTTAATAATTTTATACAAAAACAATAAGATGGTGGTTGGAGGTATTCAACAGGAAATTCCGGACCTAGGTTTCGTGCTACATGGCATTCGTCAGCAAGGTGTACGCAATGTTGAGTCACGTAGACTGATGACCATATTGCAACTTAATCGACAGGATTCGATTTGCACTAAAAAACAATCTGACATACATGATATTGATCACTACCCAGTGATCAATCAATGCAAAGCTTTATATCAGATTTATGGTTCATATTGAGAAAATATATTTCCAACTGGAAGTTGTTGATTTTATTTATTTATTTATTTATATATACATTCACGTTTTCATAATTGAAGAAGCTTATTTTTCATTGTAGGTAGAAACTTTACGTATTTAAATGAACACTAAGAAATCAGTGGAACATTTTGATCATCGAACCATCAGCAGAGAACTTACAATAATATTCTAAACTTTGGAATGCCTTAAATGTATTTTTGTGATGGTATAGTTTTAATCCAATATAGAGTCATTGGTTTACTTTAGTGATGAATATCAAAATAGAACTAAATATTTGTTGTTTTATCAAACATCTTATGTTTTTCCTCATAGTGTCATTAGGAATTAAAGATTTTCTTCATGTATATTACTCATCGAGAAGGCCACTGTTTAGTCTAATGTTTTGTAAGTTATTGTGCTTCATGACATATGTTTGTGAATCGTAAGCGTTAATCATAAGGTACTATAGACTCATGGTTAGACTTTTCCTCAACCCAGTTATTAAAATAATAAAATTCTCTTCATTATTGGACTCCAAAATACTATTTATAGCCAGATGGAATGAACCATTGAACCATTCTACAATGATTAGATCCATGGTACATAATTTCATTAGATTTCATATAGTCCTTCATTTTAATGACACTTGAAACAAAATGGTCTATGTTGATTCATCTTAATTTATTATTAATTCAGAATAAAAAAATACCGAACCTGTCATTTTAACTTATTTTTAAAGTGTTGTGTTCTCTGGCCTAGCTAATTCAGTTATTAATCTTCTATAGTCTTTTTAGACAAAATCATCAGCACATGCCATATAAAGAAATTAATTGTTAGAATTTCACTAATAACATTTTGTATTAACTATGGAGTAACTCTAATAACTCACTTTTCTTTTTTTGGAGTATGTAAAAGTAGCCCGTCCAAAGAAAACAACATCTCCATTGTGAACTTTAGATATTCTTAATTATATTATTTATTTCAGTAGTTGAGATCATGAGTCAATTGAAGCTAGACCACCATGGATAACCCGGATGCACTGGACTGACGTTTCGTCCTATTGTAGGACTCCTCAGTAGTGAGAATCCACAATCCCTAGAGGTGGGATCGTGGTTGCGCACTGTTGAGGAGTCCCATAATAGGAAGAAACGGCAGTCCAGTGCATCAGGGTTTCCCATGGTGGTTTAGCTTCATTTGACTTATGATTTCAACTATGAAAACATTGAATAACTCATTAAAGTAAATGAAGAATTCTCACGGAAGGAAATCTTTCTTTTTAATGATATCAGTTTCTTAAACTATACAATCGTATGTATAGATAATTTTTTTATTTTATTTCAAGTATCCGATAATTAAATAGAAGAGAGTTAAAAGTATATCAAAGATAACTTCACTTGGTGTTGTTTGGTTGAATCTTCTTATTGATATTTAACACTGCAATTGATCAGTCTCTTATTGGCCATATGTCCATAATGTGCATTTCGCCTCGATATAACCTTCATTCACAAGCATTATAAGCAAAAATGGATAGTGGGTAGCAGTGGAATACAGTTTGACGCGCATTTCGTCCTATTTGGGACTCGTCAGCTGGATGTACATGCATCTCAGGGTCAGATATTCAAGCGTTTACGAGTATCGAATATCAACGACTATAAAAATGAATTGATATTACATCATTTTATAGAGAAATTAATGATTTAAAGTACAGAAAATAAGATTCATTTAATATAATTGTATCATTTTAAAGTAATTAGAGTTATTGAAAGTTATTAAATATTAAATAAAATAGACAATCAATTATTTAGCAAAATGATCGAACAATTAACAAGAAAGTAAGTTATGTAATAATTAGAGAAGTAACAAGACCTAATAATTTGTGCAACAAATGAAAAAGACAACTTTACACTTTACAAAATGAGGAATATGAAGTGCTTACGATATGCAAAATCTTGAGGTGTTCTAAAGTCACTGGAAAAAAGGATCGAATACAACGCTTATGTACTCATAGGTCAGTTTTGAAATACTGAAGTGCTAAATCTGCAACTGCGCACAAATTTATTGTGAAAATCTTCTTCATACCAGTTCTTTTAATCTTGCAGATAATCTTGAATGAAGATTCACAGGGCAACATATAAGCTGAATTGACTCAATGTTCAGAGATTAAGTTGTTAATCCCATTTCCAATAGACATATAAGGTAGTAATTGTACGTTTGTTTATAAAACTGAATGGCTGTAATCTAGTAAAACTTCACGAAGGCTAGTAAACTCATAAATAAACAATGAGGTGGTCCACATTAGCAGTTTATTCCTGACACTTCCTTAAATGAAGTTTTCAGTGAAGAAAGCAACTCGGAACTTCATAAAACTAAATGTCATTCTCAGAGCTCTAGATAGCCTATTCGTAAATTTCTTTGAAGCCTTATCTTCTGCTAATTTCTTGAATTATTTTGAAATAACACTCACGCACTCATAAATTGTAGTACCTAATATGTAAAATATTTTGATAATCTTTGATTTCCTAATGAAATTATGTAAAATAACTTTTTCTATATTCAATAATTGAAGAAGCTTGATCATCTTTGATACACTTGAAACATCCCTCCTCTCCCCACTTATTTTACTACAGACTACTATAAATCAAAACCAACTTTTGGCTTATTTGACTCTAACATAATTTCTATGTATATACTACTGTTGCCTAGCTTTCACTAAACATCCTGAAATTCCCACAAGGGGGTTTTGTGGAGATTTTAGTAATTTTTTATATAGTTGAAATCAGGAGTCAATTGAAGCTAGACCACTATGTGAAACCTGGAAGCACTAGACGGCCGTTTCGTCCTATTGTGGGTCTCCTCAGTAGCGTGCATCCACAACCCGCCTTACGATACTCATTGATCAATTGTACTCGTGTTTAGTGATATTTCAATTTAAATCTATGATGTTATCTGATGAAGTTTCGAAAACAGTAGTCACGTTACATCCTTTTTATCAATCGGTACACATTTACAATTTTATTATTTATTACTATGTTCTAGGTTCCGTTAGAAAATAAGTATTTCAACATTGAAATTATCAATGATTCCCATGATTTTTCACTTATTATCTACTTCATACAATGTATAGCTGATAATTACTTGACTATCCATTTTTAGCTGGCAGAGATTTTATTATTATGATCACAATATTCTGTTATTTATTTGCTATAAAATCAATAACTTAAAATGACATATTTATTAATTTCTTTTAAACAGATTAGTGCAAATGTTTGCCATGTCCATGCCCCCAAGTGCCCTGGTACGGCTGAGAGTGGGGAGAGTACGCTCTTCCCCTCCAAATGCTTTCACATAGCCACGCGTATATAGCCTCTGTCAGGGAAGTCCTACTCACTGCCTTCTCACGGCATTACTGTTGTTTACGAAATTGAGAGAACGAAAAGCGAATGTCCGGTAGTTTAAACGGTCCGGTGGACACGGAAAGTCCACCTGCGGGAGTCGGGAAGGCTTGATCTCTAACCAACTGTGCACATGGGCTCCAGTATCCTGAAGGAACAAATGGCGTATGAATCAATTATCGGTCACCGGCTACTATGGGACTGTATCTCCTCACGATGCTCCACTGCCTTATGGATCAGATCTTTAGGTCAAAGGCTAAGGGTGTGGCCTCCTAGGAAAACCACCTGTTTCGGTTTGGGCACTTGGGCAATATCACAGCTCTCACACAAATCAAATGAGATTTGTGTGGCGCATATATATGTGGTGCCCCTTTGTACCAATATTTTTTTGTTTAAATAAAAAAATAAATTATTTTGTCTATATAAGAAGAATAACTTTGATTTATGAATCTTTAAGAATTGAATGTTTTATCTAGTTAATCGACTATTTTATTTATATATTTTTTCGTAGTAGCGGAGAAAGTTTTTTAACTGTTAAACTTCTATTTCTATTAGAACTATTGCAAAAATCTCATGTTACAAGACTTATTGAATAAACTTCATTTAAACATTTTACTGAGCGAATTGACCATTCATCTAAGGATATTTTCTAGAACTGTGAAAGTAAACTTTCGCAAATCTATGTAAACGGATGTTTCAATAAAAAAATCAGTACTTTACGTTATTAGTAAGTTTGTCACATACTAGTGATATCCAGGTTATTTCCTATGAAGATACTGCATTACAACGAAACTTGCTTGAAATGGAATTTGAAAATAACTAAAGTAATCACAAACTTTAGCTAAGATAGTCAAATTCAGAAATGACCTTCCAGTAATCTATTAATTATTACAGTTCTAGTATATAACTTAACGTCTTTTATACTTTTAAAGATTGCTCTGTACAGGTTTGATGAAACCAAAATAATTTAATATAAAACGTAGTAATTTAATTAATAAATAGAATGGGTCTTGTATTTCGGAAATCAGTTAAATCTACATGTTTCTATAAGATAACATAGAACACCTACACATAATTGTATACCTCTATTGTGTGTAAACTGTTCAAGTGTATAAGGTGTTCTGTATACCTTCAGTATACAGATAAACATACAAACACATACTTAAGTATTCATTTGGGCATTTTTTCCTGCGTATATGCTTTTTATGACGGACATACAATCAGACACACCTCTATTTAACATAGAAAAATTATTTTGGCAAATACTTTAGTATTTCTAAACTGCATTAATCACTATGATCATTTAGTCTGTTATTAATTGCGTTTATATAATAAAGATTTCATTTTTAAAGTCAAACCTAAACAGACTAAATGAAACTGGATAGATATTGATAACCATCGAATTAATTCTGTTGAATAATTCTTTACCAAGTGAAAGTTTTTTAAAAGAAATGCAATCTACTGAATACTCAACCTCATCAACAACTAATTTCACGACTGCTAGTACATTCAGTCAGTCATTAACAGAGTCTATCCCAACAAATGACACTTACATGATAACAACTGAAAGTTATTATAATATTGTTACATCAAGCTTGAAAGATACATTTAGTACATTAACAACATTATCCATTCATCATGATCACACAACAGTATATTCAGAATTCGCTTGTGTTCGTAGTGAATTATCTGAACCAGATTTTCAGCTGTATGCATGTTCTGGTAGTAAAATTACATCATGGATTGCAAGTATCTTTTTGGTAACAATGAGTATATTTGGAATTATAAGTAAGTATTGTTATTGTTTAATAAGTAATAACGAAATGATTGTTAACAGTTTAGTTGACAAAAATGGATAATGGCTAGCAGTGGAATCCAGCCTGACGTGCGTTTCGTCATATTTGGGATTCGTCAACTGGATATACCTGCATCTCAGAGTTGATGTTCACTCTGGGACTCGAACTCAGTACCTTTCGCTTCAGTTTTCAACAATGATTAGATTTTGTATAATTGAATAGATTTTAGTTGAGTTTCAAATCGAAATATGGTAGACTGAAGCATAGAATAAATAAGATTCAGTTAAATCACTAAAATAGTAATTATATTTTGGCTAACTACACATGAAAGTAAATAATAGATACAAAATAAATGCAATTGGATAATAAGAATCAATATATTCCAACTATGTATTGGAATGATGATAAGAAAATATTTAACCTAACATTTCTAGAGATCATAACTTTATCCAACTTTTTACTTTTACTTCACAAAAGCATAATCTTTACTCAATCCATTTTGATCAAGTTCTGGTTAACGTTTTTTCAGCGATTTAGTTTTCCTACGGGATGGGGTCGCTAACCCTATGCCCAACCCACCGACTTTACCAGGGCTTGGGACCCGGCAGTAACTCTAGATAAGCTATAGGCAGGGTTTTTATCCAACTTATGATCCTGTAATAAAAAACAAAACTGACTAGTTCGTCGATGTTTCCTATTATTCTCCCTATTGTATAAGTATATGATGAAGGCTGTCTCCATTATAAACTAATCTTAATAAACATCAAGGCAAATCGAAAAGTTGAGTATTTAATAATTTCACCATATGATCAATATACATAGTTTAACGTTCATTAAAAAACAACCCTCTCTGATAGATCTTTCTAAAATTATAATTATTGTAATCACCTATTGCGTTTTTGGTAACAGAATTTGGTGGTTCACCTTGTTAAATGACATGAAATCACCTGAATGGATCATATGATATGGAATATTGTTCCTTGAAAGGTTAGCAACTTATCTGTCACCAATGAAATGTATTCATTAAATAAAAGATAAATTAAGTAATATGTTAGTAATCTGGAAATTGACAAATCAATCAAATAAGTAATAACACACATTTTACATGATAATGGTATACCAAGAAAACTGAATACATTTTCTTCTTGATTTATGTTTTCTTCTAATCAAAGTAAACAAACAAGGTAAATTAAAATTATGGAGATGAATCTTCGAATTCTTGTATAAAAATATTAAATTCAAACAAACATAATATAAACAATGAGTTTGTTCCCATTCTAGTCCGATTATCAAAAACGTTTCAGGAACTATTCGATCAAAGAAGATAAATCTCTTCTAGGTCACTCAATAAACCATTAGTCACTTTTAAAGTCGACGATAGCAACTCGATCTAATGTATATTTCCATCATATCCTACGTTGAGTTTGATTGACTGAGAATCGGTGGTGAAAAGTTTCGAGAGACCTTAGCTATCTATAATTTTCTCCTTAATAACGGGAATCCAAACAACTTTGCATGACAATTATCTGATTTTAAAACTCTCAAGAATTGTGAAGTACTAGGTTCTTATGTTTAGTTTCAACTAAATTGAGCGTTGGGTAGACAGTTAATAATAAATATATTTTTGTTATATCCCAATGAGTAGAAAATTTGTATTTCTGATGTTTCGTGACTTAATATAAGCCACTTTTTCTGAGTACTATTTAACAATACTATCTAATCTTGTGTTAATTTGATTTCGATCATTTACTTACTCTGAAGAAGTGGCTGATATTAAGTCACGAAACATTAAAAATATAATTTTTCTACTCGTTGAAATATAATAAAAAATATATTTATATAGAAATGTTAGTGTTTTATTAAAATATTTTTACCTTCATTCAATATCTACCAAATATATTTTATTTAAATGACACATGTAATAGAACTCCAACTGACGTTTTGGAAGATCTTTAACTAATAATAACATTAAATTCACTTGGTGTTGTTTACTTGAATCTTCTCATTGTTATTTAGGACTGTAATTGATCAGTCTCTTATTGGCTATATGTGCATACTGTGCTTATTGCCTCGATATAGCCTTAATTCACAAGTATTGTAAGCAAAGATGGATAGAGGCTAACAGTGGAATCCAGTACGCGCGTTTCATTCTATTTAGAACGATGGAGTTTGAAATGAACGCTACTGGGTTGGAGTCCCATGGTGAACATCAACTCTGAGATGCAAGTACATCCAGCTGACGAATCCCGAAAAGGACGAAATTCGCGTCATGGATTCCACTGCTAGCCACTATCCATTTTTGCTTAATTATAACATTGTTAAATGATTGTAGAAACATAAAAGTAACCTTATTAGAAATATAGTTTTGTTTTTAATAAAAAGTGGAATACTTTGTTATATTGAATTGATTGAAGTAGATTGAAAATTAGTTGATTTTCTTAAAGTAAACCAAAGATCATATGAACAAAACAATATTCCTCTCAATAAGTTCTCCAGTTATAAATCTAGACTTTAAGGAAACAGTCAACTTTGAAGAAAATATGTCTTTTGCAATGCTACAGAATAATGAGTTAAGGAGGTTTAGTGAAATTAAGTATAATTTAAGTTACTACTATGTAGATTTAACTTGTAAAGGTTTAAACGTCAGTTAAAATTGTGAGGTTACTAATGAAAACAAATATAAGTAGTATAGAGTGAGAGAAATAATAATCTAAATTACACATCAGATCAAATATTTGGTCAAAGATTACGTAGTGTATAGAGTGATACTAATGTATTTACAAGGTTGGTAATGATAATAATACTTATGGTAGAAATACAACAATATATGGATGATAATAATAGTACTAAAATAAGATTAAGTTTTATGTTACAGTAATTATAAAGAAATATATTCACTTTGATTGACTAATTTCTAAAAAAGGATAATTATACTCACAGTTGATAAAAGTTGATACTCAGAAAGCTATTTGTGGACGTTTTATTAACTCAAAACTAGCTGTTGCTACTAACTGACACCAGCTGTAGAACTACAAAGAAGCACTAGATAAATTCTTCGTTCTGTTTGATGCTCTCCAACTGGAAGCCAATTTAAACTTACACGAGATTAAAAACGAGATTTCTGCGTTGTCGAATTCACCATTCAAAATTCAGTAATTTATTATGTAAGTCTGGATACTAGTGATGGACGTATTTGACATGTATTCATTATATTGAAACAATACCATAACACATTTCAATATATAAGCTTAAACCGTCTAAAACATTCGTCACTGAATCTATTTAAGTGACACTTAAAGAACTTATTATACCTATATCCTAAAGTTACGATTGTGAAGTCAATAGCATTGTTGTGTATGAATAAATGTAATTGTCGATTTCTGTAACTATTCTAAAATGAAGTTTATGGATTATTTAATTTTGGAAATAATTATCAAATAAATTTATAATGACATAAACCTTAGGAAAACTTAAATATAGTTGAAATCATTAATCAACTGGAGCTAAACCACCTTGGAAAACCTGGAAGCACTGGATGGCTATTTCATCCTATTATTGGACTCCTCCCAAGTGCATATCCACGATCCCGTCTCGCGAGATTCCAACCCAGGACCTATCAGTCTCACATGCGAGCGCTTAACCTCTAGAACCCTGAGCAGGTATCCAACGGTGTTATTGTCTAACTTCAACCAATCCACGAAATTGAGCAACCATCCATCATTGTCTTCAGTGAGTTGATATCTCATAACAGAGTTGGTTGAACTCTACTGGTCACTGCTTCTCACTAGAAACGGCTGTCCAGTATTCCAGGTTTCCAATGGTGGTCTAGCTTCAATTAGCTCATGATTTCAACTATAAAATTATTGAAATCCTAACAAAACCCCTTCTGAAAACTAAATATGACTAGGTAAATAACAATCTATAAAACTATCCACATGACCACTATTTTTTAAACAGCCAAACAAACGTGCACTAAGAAGAAGTCTAAGTAGAATTTTATCAGTCCTGAAATAATTTTTATCAACTGAATGAAGCTAACTTGAAAGAAAAAATCGAAATAGGATCAAATCTTTTAGAATTCCTTGAACCCCTTTATCAAAAGCCTTTACAGTCTCGTTATATTAGAAAGAAATTTGCACTTCACACTGATAGCAACTTGATCGACAGAACTCGGTCAGCAATGAATGACTCGACAAGTTTCACAGTTGTCATTACTTATGGATCAGTCAATTATAAATAATTTAGTCTAATAATGAATCCTTTGCGATCTAAATAGTTCAGTGGTTACATCTCAGATTATCAAGCTGAATGATGTTGTTATATCTAGAGCCTTGGTTCTTAATATGCCGCGAACTACTTGACTACTTGAACGATAGAACCCGCAACGTCGCAAAGAGAGAAGACAAAGACTGGTAAGCAGGAAGTTTATTGCCCCGAACAATGTCAAAATATAGCACAGAAATCTCGTGTATTTATAGTTTTTGGCTGAAAGTAAATTATCATTTAGGTCAACCAATAAGCACATAGGTATCAAACTAATCCATCCAACGGGGAAGCTCCACGTTGGCATTTCTAGAACATTCCCCTAGCCCTGATTGGATGGAATGTCTGCGGCTCTTCCTGGGCTTCCTAGAGCCTCCTCGACTTCACCTGTGGACCATCCTCACAGATGTATATTAGAATTTCATACGGTTTACCAATTCCCTCAATGTTACAGGTAAGCAATACGAAAATTAATTTGAGGGTTTTCTGCTGACTATTTCCAATCATCTAACAACTTATAACGATTCATATTTTTTAATACAGTCAATTCTCGTTATATATACTACTTACTATTGAGACGAAATATGAATATGAAATAGCAATAAAAGGTAACTGCGCAAAATTTAAAAAAATCGTCTAAAATAGGTTTTTCTGTTATGCATAACCAATAAATTATCCAATTTAAAGAATAGAAAAATAAGAAAAAGCGATATTGATTGAAATTTAAAGGATAAATGAAAACTATTCTATACAAGAAGATGAATTGAATTTTTGGAAAAATTAGTTGTTTATAAGTTTTAATATATACCTTGCATTACTTGTAATATTTATACTAAATCGAAGGTAATAGTCAGTTAGTATACTGAGTTTTCAAAATTCTCCATTTGATAATACTACTGTAGTGAATGAGAACACAGGTGGGAACAACCAAATATATGTTAATACAACCTGACAGGATATCTTGGTAAAATTTGAGAACCATACAGTAAATGCTTCATTTGCAAAATATCCATCAATAGTCTCAGACTTGACTGTTCATTCGTTTACACACCAATCACTCTCTATTCTCCTTCTCTTCTCTTCTATTTTGTCAACCTTCTGTTGTTAGGCATTCCACTTTTGATCGATGATACATACTACATATATCTATCCGAATCAATAGCACGCACCACACTACTACACTTTTCATTCATTCTTAAAGGTTGTTTAGATTCTGTTATTGCTAATGGTAAGGTATGCAAGTGATCGGTCTCTTTTGGCGTATGTACATCCTGTACTGTTTGCCTGGATATTGATATTATTTAACTAACATTTCTAATTATTGTATAGCATTTCTCATACATTATACCTAGTGGGTTATGTGATGTTAATTGTAAAATACACTTTCCTGTTCTTGCTTCTAGTCACAAATCAAAAATTCTAAGCATAGTTTTTATATTCATTGAAATTATAAATGTATAATAGAGTAACTGTTATGACTACTTAACTAAGAGAATTAATCTGTCAGTAAAAAATATACTTCATATTACAAAGTCAGTACAGCTTATAACTGTAATGTAGTTCACCAGCTTACTTCCGGATTTTCATCAATCTGGAAGCTTTGATATTGGAGCAGTTAACGACAGAGACAAGGTCATTTATGTAGTTATACATTATGGTAACAAAGACTTCCAAAAATCATGTAAACTTTATTGATAATTTCTGAATCTGAGCAATCATATATTGTAAATGCCCCAACGTAATAAATATCCGACTTCCGCTCGTCTGTACTCACATATTTGTGCAAATAATTTGATTAGATGGAATCCTTTCTCAGATTCTACTTTATTTATTTATATTTTTCTAAATATATCAGATTCAGCGAAATACTCCAAGAGGAAAGCATTCAGTTTCATAAATCAGTGTATAATACATGTCCCCATTTATCGTTAAACCTTCAGATAGTTATTTTTGATTGCAAATAGTTATAAAATAAGGGAATTATGTGTAATGCTAACTCATATGTAAGAGCACTAAGAGTATCTATCGGTTTAGAAATAAATCCTATGAAATATGTGCTTAAATATACAGCTTTTAAATTAATATGTTAGTTGTTTATAACATGGTGGCCTGCTTGAATATCTGGGCTATCTGTTCCTGCCATGTGGATATTTCAACAAGTTATCTGTTATCTTGTTTACTTTAACACATCATTATGCCTATTAGTTTCATAACCTATTTAGGTGCGTTTATGAATTGTTTACTGCATTCCGCCGTACAAGTTTAGAAAAAGCTCAATCAGAGACACTGTGGTTGCTGACAAGATAAACCGAAAAGAACATATATTAATCAGTTGTCGACTCCTGAACTGTTGACATCTAACTGGTGATCACTTAATACTTATCATCACGATCGACCAAGAGATTAGAGAAAGAAAACGTATTGAAATAGTTTGGGCTGAGAATTCTATATTGTACCAAAAATATAATATTGAATAAAGCTAATAATAACAATAATAAATGTTATTTTAGCACATTTATCCATAAAAGGAACAGTAAGATTGTCAGATCTCAGTATAAAGTTTGGTTATTAGTCAAATAATCACCTTCTAATTAATTTATTGTTGTAGATTTATTTTTTAACTTATATGTCAAATGGGGAAATGGTTCTTACATATTGCTGTTCTTTATTTTCAGAATGCTTGACCGCTCATGGAATACTCAACATATTTGACTTACGACGTACTGGAATTAGTTTTCCAAAACGACCAGAATTTTTTGTACTCACCTGTTCAAGTTTACCACTAGTATTTAGCGTTCTATCAAGACCTCTATTCACACCATTATCACCTACGCATAAATACTTCATCTTAGGCTGGGGAATGGCACAAACACGATTCTTTTGTGACCTCTTTACTAGAACCGCTTCGATATATCATCTTGTCTATTGGGTTTACCGTACACCAATAATAAATTTAATCTGGCACATATGTTTTATTTGCAAACTACATTGTAATAAATTACGTGATGAAACTAAGAGATTGGCGGCAGCAAGAAAAACTGCGGTGAAAACTGCAAAAACATCACCCAAACGTTATAGTAAACAACCTGTTGGTCGGGGAAGAACCTCGGAATGGGGTTATACTGATAAAAGAAGAAAATCAAGGTCAAATAAAAGTGTTCGAGGAACTACTGAAACTGTAGCTGCTACACCTAATTCATCGTCGATCAATACTCTAATTAATACGAATGAAATTAATGATCTAACGAGTCAAGTTGCAAACTCTGGTGGGATAAATTTAATTGCTGCACAACCATTGTTTATTGATCAGAATAATGTATTAGGTCCACCTAATCAATTACCTGGAATGATGCCAAATTTGAGCGGTTTAATGAATCCTTATGGTCAAATGATTCCTCAAAATATGATGGTTACTCCTGATAATTATAATATGTTCAATAATGGACCAGTAGGACAACAACTTGGACAACAAGCTAATCCATATGCAATGAATATGGGTTATGGAATGGGTTATGGAATGACAATGAATATGAATAATTATATTAATCAAGTAAATGCATATAATCAACCTAATTTTATGTATCCTATGAATGGTGCCATAAGTCCTGATATTCCTAAAGATACTACAAATAATACAATAAATAATGATAAACCGTCAATCAATGATGCATCCGAAAAATTTTCTACAATTAAAACAAAAAGTAAAATTGAAGTTCCATTACCAACGAAACAATTTCTATATCATTGTAAACGCATAATACCAGGTTGTATTTATATCATTTCATTTATTATTACTTTACCATCAATTACTGCATTTGAACCAATTGAAGAAGATGGTATGATATTAACACGTTGTACAACAATATGTCGTTCATATTTCTATTATGATTTAATTGTACTTGTTACCATGCCAACAATTTCTTTAATTATAGCATTTTATTATTCATCATTAAGTAAAAAACAAATAAATGGTGAATTAAAAATGACATATCGTTTAAGATGTTATTATGTAACATTTATTTTATTAAATATTCCAATGTTTGTATTAATGTTAACATCAATTGGTTTTAGATTAAGTGAAAAACCATATCGTAATATATATGGTACTGGTATATTAATTGCTATGACAGCATATCATACAAATTTTGCATTAAAATCAACTATATATACAACTGGTTGTAATTGTATATGTTGTTCAGATTATTGTTTAATGAAATATCCTAAAATTAATCGATTAATTATATCATTTACAACACCAGTAGCTATTAAAGATAAAGAAGCATTATTAGAAGGGATAGTTATACCAGTACGTATGGATAAATAAAAAAGAAGATAAACAAGCAAACAAACAAACAAACAAATATAAATAAATTAATATATTTGTAATATCCAAATGAGTAGAAAAATTGTATTTTCTGGCGTTTCGTAACTCAGTGTAAGCCACTTTTTCAGAGAATAAATAAAAACATTTTCTGAAGAAGTGGCCTACACTGAGTCACAAAACGTCAGAAAATCTAATTTTTCTACTCATTGGGATATTATAAATATATTAATTTATTTATAACAATCTACCCAATGCTTAATTTATTCAAAATTATCAAATCAAAACTTGGTAATGATACGTACAAACAAACAAACGAATAGTTTGATAGTATCATTTTTCATTTAATGTCCAAGATATAAAAAATAAAAAAACTAGAACAATTTCTAAGAAAATCAATTATTTTCCTCTCTTTTCATTTCACTTTAATTTTTTCTCTATTTTCTTTTCTTTATTCTAGTAGTATGTTACAATATTTTTCTTTTTTTTTCAAAAATTATGTCTGTAATGTGTAAACTTTTCTTATTTTTTAATGTATATTCAATGTTAAATATATTTAAATGAATACTGTATTACATGTAGATAGTATTAAAAACAGTATGAATGTATACTGAATATATTTATAGACAAAAGCTTCATTTTGAATTATCATATTCTTAATTAGATGATTTTCATTATTACCCTGAAGAAGGTCAGATAAGTTAACTGGACGAAACGTTGGAATTATTATTTAAATTTCAATCGCTGAGACTATTTCAAATATATTTTTTTCATAAATAATGAATTAGATCATTTGTTTATTTATAGTATTGTTATTTCATATTGACTAAGAATTTCACTTTGATAATGGTTACTGTGAATTAATTTTAAACAAAATACTATCTTCGTATTGTTTACTTGAATCTTTTAATTGATGTTTAGGACTGTAATTGGTTATCCAGCTGACGAGTCTCAAATAGGATGAAACATGAACCCTGAATTCCACTGCTAACCACTATTTATCCTTATTTATAAAACGTTATCTAATAATGCCCCAATTCATAATGAAGTGGAATTTGTTAAATTTTAAATGTACTGTGGTGTGTGATACTGATGTCAACAGATATAAGTAGTATGTATCATCAGTCAAAAGTGGAATGCCTAACAACAGAAGGTTGACAAAATAGAAGAGAAGAGAAGGAGAATAGAGAGTGATTGGTGCGTAAACGAAGGAACAGTCAAGTCTGAGAAGGATGGATATTTCGCAAATGAATTATTTACTGTATGCTTCTCAAATTTTACCAAGATATCCTGTCAAGTTGTATTAACATATATTTGGTTGTTCCCGCCTGTGTTCCCGTTCACTACAGTACCAATAAATTATTATGAAATATCAAAGAATAACATTAGAAAAAGAAAATAGATAAACCTGAGGAATATTTTTAACTGGTCTAAGTTGTATAATCAAGTTTAATTACAATAATCTTGATGTCTTTTAGCGGTTGTCTTATGTAGTTTAGAAGATGACGTTGATTAAAAAGATTGAACTTAAAATAATGGTCTCAGCGTTGAGACCAGATAATTTAACTATACAAGATATTGTGAGCATGAAATAGGACTAAATTCGCAATAAAAATAAAACAAGGATTTTAGTAAAGCAAATTTGTGAACTCAAAGAAGTGAATAAATTTTCTCTTTCTGCTAATATTCACGTAGACACATGTATAATTATTGAAGTGATTGTTTTAATCAGATCACAATCCGAATATACGGCTTTATTTCATCTCGGATCAATGACTTTCTAGTTTACCATTCATATAGTAACAGTGAATAAAGACCTGAGAATCTTAGTGTTTATTAGTTTACAAACTTTTTTAAGGCAACGTCAAATCAGGAGACAAAGTTAACAAACAAACTTCTTAGATTGTCTTTCTAAATCAAAAACTGAAATGAAAATATGGAGCCGAGGTTAAAAATGTCATTTTTCATTTTCGGTAAATATTTTATGTCCAGTACTTCCTCCTTTTTTCCGTTCATTCGGTAGATTAGTGTTGCATATTAGGATGTAATCTATATTACATAGTTTACTTTAGGAATTTACAGTTATCCTCGACTGTCCTTCGTGAATAGGTCAGCTCAGAGCAGTTCAATATACAGGATGAAAAACCAAAAAATTTGTGAAAGTCGGGGGTTTAAATGAAATCATGGTTGAAATTGTAGTAAAATACAACAGTGGTTCACTGAATAAACTACAAAATGCACGAAAGTCATAGATGTGACACAAGACCCGGGCACTGAAAGTAACGAATAACTTCAGTCTAATATACGTCAAGTGCCTGGCCACACATCAACGAGAATAAAAAATTATAATGTGCACACTATTGATTCACAGGGGATGTCAACCAGAAACAATACATGAATAATTAGTTGACCATAGTTAATACGTTAAATGAAAGCTTATAATTAGGATGATATACATAAACATTACTGTAATTATTGGTAAATTGAATATTGGAACGCTTTCCTTAACATATGGCGTATTACTCTCTCCGATGATAAAATTTTCTTAAAGAACTAGTCTTTGTCTAGTTAAAACTATTCAATTCGGTAGCATCATGAGTGTTTGCAATAGTTAAGTAAGACAAGGAAAAACGCTTTAGCTCATCTGCAATAACTCTTAGTATGTAAGTAGAAAAACTTATGAATGATTTAATCTTCCTCAAATGTTATTTGTAACTAATTCTATTTGAAATTTCGTATTGTATGGTATTCCAAAATAATCCAATTTTATAGGTCACCGAAATGAAGTTGATAGATACGGAAATATGTATTTTTCTACTATTTAATCTTTGTTGTGATATATATATATATATATATATATATATATATTGTGGCAAAAATGGCGAATCATTGGGGCCGAAATGCACCTTATAGTGGAGCAGGCGGTGGTGGTAGTGGTTACATGGGTTCTGGGGTTGCTAGTGCAGACTTCTATATGGGTGGGTCTACCCCAAATGATCGCAGACCTTATAACGTTGCCCCGGTTGCTAAGCCGTTTTACGGTGGATACCAAGAAGATAAGTACAACAGATGATCAGATCGACGAGATGATTTCCTTGATGGTAAGCGTGGTCAGCGAAAAGGGCGAAGTCAGGAGAAACGTTACCATGATACACCACCTAGCCAACGTAAAGACCACAGAGCTTTCGGGAAACACCAGTCGTCCTTTTCACGTTACGAAGTGAAGATCCCCAGTGGGTTCTTCAATGTGTTTTCATCGTCCTTACCTGACCTCCGACATCGATACCCCCACCTCAATATATATATATATATATATATATATATGAGAGAGAGAGAGAGTTGATTGCCTTTCTAACCATTATTTCTTATCAAATCTTGTTCACTACCTAAAAAACTATGCGAATAAAATATGTGATCTTGATCAATCTCTTATCAGATGATCTACGTCCAATAATAATAATAACATTAATAATAGTCAATGAAATTGTATGTTTACAAAAATATATTAGGCAAAAACTAGGATGTACTACCCGATGTTTACCAAAACTAATAAATGGATGAATAAAAACAATACGCTAAATTCAATAAAATACAAAAAAAATTCAAACTAGAATAAAAGAACATAGTTCTGTAGTTAGATTTTATTATTCCATGAAAATGTTCATTTCATTCCTTAATTCGAACTAGATAAGTCTGATTTATCTTCTTTTTTTAAATGGAGGAGTTCATTATATTACAACAAAACTCTTTTTATTGTTCATGTAACAATCGACCAATCGAAAATATAAGTTAAAATTTATTTACAGTAATTCATTCAAACAGTTTCAACGAGTTCTATCCTATTTCATGTAATTTTATCTCAGAAAATATTGGCCAATGTATTTCAAAATTACATGGTTGAAGATAGTGCAAAAGAAATTCTATACCTAAGCACTCATCAGCAAAGTATGCTTGCAGTATTGAAAGAAACGATTGCGAACTGGAGGATTCGAACAGACTCACAGTCTCAGTAGTTATCATTGAGCTATTAGGTCCTCAATTAACCTATTTTATAGGATTGAGATGCTTACAACCAACTAATCAGCCGAGTACTACCCACTGTTGTCTGTTTAATTTTTAAGGACGAATTGAATTCTATTGTTCAAGTTGTGTTGTAGCTACTAGTCTAAGTGACCTGACATCATATGCACTTTATTGATAAGTTAGATACTTCTGGGCAGTCGGCTGAGAATAATCGTGTCTCCAAAAGTCTGATAAAATGGAAGATGTATCCTTTGAGCTTTAGAGTATTTTATGTCATATTATACTAACTATCATAAAATCTTATCAACACATTCTGTTTGGATGCATAAAATTAGTTAAGAGAGAATTAGGATGAGGAAACTTATTGCAAAAATTCCACAATTAGAAAATAAATCTCAATAAGAGTCTCACCAGACAGCTACTAGTGATAATGTCATGATTTATAAAGTTCCGTCATTTTTTTTATTTATCAAGATAGATATCATAACGTTCCAGTAGAAAACTGTAACCGATGAATTTAGGTAATTTAAGAGTGAGACTAACTCAGTGAATAATATTAACCGATGATAGTACAATATAAAATGATCAACAGAATTTTCAATAACATCGGTTTTTAAATTTAAAAGAGTTATAATCAAATTTATGAAGATTTAACCAAATTAGCACGGTAGAATAATTTGTCAGTTTTTCCCAACAAAGATTGCCATAAAATAACATTGAAACCCCCTTCATGTTATGTTGATCATGTTTAGCTTACTCTATTACGGGGACGATAATGAAAAGCAATAATTTGAATCATAGGTCTTTCTTACTGCCGTTTTAAGGAGAGTAGGATGATAGCCAGCAGTAGGATATAAGATTCATGTTCTGTCCCATTTAATAACCATTAGGTGAATGTATCGGAATTCCAGTTTTGGTATCCACTAACGGACACGAACCCAGTATTTTCAGCTATTTACTTGTATAAGAGGGATGGATTGTGTTTCATTTCTAAGCGATTTAATCTTTTCGACGATGTTGAAGAACAGCAACTGATTAGCCTCTATTGAATTATGTGAAACTTCATAACATTGTCTTAATGATGTTATTAAGTTACAAGCATTTGTAAGTAGAGAGTCACAGATAAAACAAAACACCTGTCTTGGATTATTACTACCAGACACTATCCAACTCTGGTTAACGATCATGTGACCTAATATCAATATCATGACAATCATGACAATCATGAAAGGCCTGGAACCTCTTGCTGAGGGCTATCTTGAATTTGTTGATATTGTCAATATCCCGAAGAAAAGTCGTATTAAGCTTTCGTGATGTTGTTTACCCCGTTTTCCAGTGCCTCTTAAGTTTTAATCTTATCTTGGCGACAAGCAAATGATGATCTGATGCTATATCAGCTCCTCTCCTGGTTCTCACATCCTCCATCATCCTCCTGAACTTTTTGTTGATGCAGATATGGTCGATTTGGTTCTGTGCGGTTTGGTCCGGTGAAGTTCATGTGGTTTTGTGAATGCGTTAATGTGGGAATATAGTGCCAACTATGACAAGCTTATTGAAGACACATAGGTTTGAAAATCTCTCACCATTTTCGTTTCTTTCTCCCGGTCCATGTCGTCCCTTGACGTCTTCATATCCAGTGTTGTCCATTCCATTTTTATCATTGAGATCTCCCATCAGAATGGTCAGGTCTTTTGTTGTGCACTTCTCGAAGATCGGCTGCAGCCTATCGTAGAATTGGTCTTTACCGTCTTCATCGTAGTCGTTGGTAGGCGCATACCATTGAATGACGTTCATTGTAATGCCCTCTCTCTTTGTTTTGAAGGAGGCTTTGATGATCCTTGGTCCATGAGATTCCCATCCAACAAGTGCATTTTGTGCTTTTCTGGACAGTATCAATGTCACTCCTCGTGTATGTGGGGCATTTTCTTCTTCATGACCGGAATATGACAGAAGTTCCCCTGAAGATGGTCGTTGTTGTTCAACCTGCATCCAATGTGTTTCACTGATTCCAAGCACCTCCAGGTTGTATTTTCTCATTTCTGCAGCAATTTGGAAGACCCTCCCAGTCTCCCACATTGTCCGGACATTCCGTGTACCTATTAAAATTATCGCTCTCGTTGTTAGAATGTGCATCGGTCTCATGACTTCCGAAAGAACTCGGCTTTCATCATGAGACGTCATAATTATTCCTTCTACTCCCAGGGCAGAATTTGAATGGTTTGAATGATTTTTTCTGGTTGGCATTTTTTAGCGAGTTGGTTTTCTACGAGATGGAGTCGCTAACCCTATGCCCAACCGTCCTCCTTCACCCGGGCTTGGGACCGGCAGTAGACCCCGGAGGAGCTACAGGCGGAGTTATCAACTTCAATAGAGTTCATTTATATTTTTATCGTCTAAAGTAAAATGTT